GAGTCGGTTCTGACTCATAGTGACCCTGTACAGGATTTCCGAGTCTGTAAATCTTTATGGGAGCAGAAAGCCTCATCTTTCTCCTGCAGAACAGCTGGTAGTTTCGAACCCAGTACTAGGCACCTGTTAAAACCAATAAATATTGAATGGATGACACTTTTCTTGCTCAAAAATCTCCACTAGATCCCCGAGTTCTTATCTTAGCTGTCACTAATGCTGGAAAGATGTGACAGAGACTGCTAGTTGTCTCCAATGTTATTTCCCTTGTAAGTATTAGACCTTCCATTTTCCTCACTAGGTGGGCATGGACTGCTCAGACAAATGACTACACTTCCCAGATTTTCTTTCTGATGGGTGTGACTAAATTCTGTGCCTAAATTCTGACAATGAGATGCCAAGTAAGCTGGCAAGATGACCTCTCTGCTTTCCAGCGTGACCCTTCCCTCTTCCTGATGCCTAGAATGCAGACACGCTAATTGGAGCTAGAGCAATCATTCGGGAACTATGACTCTAGAAGCCTGAGTCCCTGGGAACTTTGTGGACCAGAGCTGCTAGATCAATCCTACCTGTGGATTTCTCCATCAGGGCAAAATAGAACCCCATGTTGGGGAAGCCACTGTGATTTTGAAGTTTTATTTTCAATCAAACCTAAGCTTGACTGCTAAGCAGTTTTTGGGTCCCATCTGAGTTAGGTGGCCCTTTTCAACTTCAGTGGCACCCTACACTTCACATTGAACGTCACTATCTGTTTATGTGCATCTTTCTCCTCGAGGGCAAGAGCTTTATTTATTTTGTTCTATTTTTGTATTTCTAGCATTTGGATGATTCACAGTAGGTCTTCAGAATATTCTTAGCGAGAGAATGAATAAAGTGATGTTTGTGAGTTGAATGCAGGTAACAATTACGTACTTGTCGTTGCTTTGAGGGTTATATAGGATAAAGTGACTATCGAACCATAGTTTCTTTTCCTGCTTTCTACATTTCCTCAGTGATCCTTCATGTTGTGACAACACCCCTGCACCTGTTATTTCCATTGTTTTCCTTCCTGCTGGACTCAGAAGCTTCCACTGCAAAATGAGTGGACATGACGACAATATGAACCTCAACAGTAGCTTTGAGTTCAAGTCTCATTCTGACCTCTTCAGTTCACAGGGATCTCTCCACTGGTCTCCACTGACTTGAAGGAGAGTAGGAGATCCCAGAAATATCAGGTGAGAAGAGAATTTCCAGGTAGACAGAATTGTATACAGGTACTGAGGTGTGACAAGCCATGTGCATTAAAGAGTCACTATAGCGTGACACAGGTACTGAGGTGTGACAAGCCATGTGCATTGAAGAGTCACTATAGCGTGTTCTGTTTGGAGGGAGGTAGGCGTCCCAGCTTAAGAAGAGGCTGGGATCCAATTGTGACTTTATCCTGTAGGTGATAAGAGGCAGACACAGTCCACACTAATATTTGGATCCATGTGTTTTCCTCTTACAGCATTCCTAGTTATTAAATCGCCTCTTACCTTTGGGCTTTATCTTTACAGCTCTGCAAGTTCTGGCCAACAATATTATCCTTTTTAACTACTGAGGGAAAAGTTTTTATTGATTTGTGTTTTTTAGCTATAGCAAGAAAATGTATTCCCAATAACATTAGTGGAGTATTAATGTCTGTAAAACATAATAAACAACAAATACAATAACAGAATGCCTATAAAATCATAAACTTTCTTTTCTGGAAAGGTAGTCTTTTTGTTTCTCTTGGGATGAGAGCCAGGTTCTTTGACAGTGATTGGTTTGAGTTCCACAGAACTGCTGCTGTGTACTTAGGGACCCCGCAGAGATTTTTTGAGCAAAAAAGTGTCAGCCATTCAATATTTATTAGGTCTATCAGGTGCCTGGTACTGGGCTGAGGAGCCTGTGGTGACAGAATTTCTGTCATTGAGAAGGTCATAGTTTAACGGGAGGAAGAGGCATGTAAACAAGGAAATACAATGTGGTAAGAGGTAGATGAGAATTATTTGTAGTGTAAGGTCAGAGCCAGGATTGAGGAATAAATAACGATGTCCAAAAAATGAGCTAAAGCACATTCAAAAACAACCAAAGATATCTGTTTAAGGAAGATCATTTCAGCAGCTGTGGGGTAGAAGGCTGGGATGGAGAAGAAATTCTGGCAAGGAGACCATTCAGGAGGTTGTTGCAATAGAGTTGATGAAGGAACCTAAAATAGGGCAGATGCTATGGGGAGTGATGGATGAAATAATTGGGGACAAAATTATCTGCAGTCAGTCAGTGAATTTTTACAAAGGTAAGAGGGCTAGTAGAAGGTGTCACTTAGGGAATTAGCAAGGGTATTAAGAAACCTGGCAGCTTTAGTACACCCCCATCACCAGTTCCCTTTCTTTCATATGGACAGTTGACATTTTCATAAGGTTTTGTGGATTCCTAGAAATCTGGTGTGGCGCTGTGGGTTAATGCGCTAGACTGCAAAGTCATTTGAATAGCAAGGTCAGTAGTTCAAGCTCACCAGTCTCTCCTTGGAAACCCTATATAGGGTCGCTATGGGTTGGAATCAACTCAACAGCACTTAACAACAAGAAGTAAATTTCTAAGCAGGACTCCATTCCAATGGGATTACCACTCCAAAGTCTCCCATTGTTTGGAATCTGGAACCACTACTGTTTGTGTGTGTGTGTGAAGAGGGTGGGAGGTCAGTATTATGATTATGACCTAAGGACAAGAGATAAGATTTGTGTTGGATGCAGAATACCTTTAAGTTTGAAATTGTGAATTATATTAATATTGTTATTGTTGTTAGGTGCTGTTGAGTTGGTTTCCACTCATAGCTACCCTGTGCACAGCAGAATGAAACACTGCCTAGTCCTGTACCTTCCTCACAATTGTTATGTTTGAGGTCACTGTTGCGGGCATTGCATCAATCCATCTTCTTGGGGGAGTGGTCTTCCTTTTTTTCATTGACCCTCCACTTTACTGAGCGTGATGACCTTCTCCAGGGACTAGTCCAGATGAAATGTTGCCATTCTAACTTCTAAAGAGCATTCTGACTGTGCTTCATCCAAGATAGATGTTTGTTCTCCTGGCAGTCCATGATACTTTCAGTCTTCAACACCACAATTCAAATGCCATCTATTCTTCTTAGCCATTGTCCAACTTTCACATGCATGTAAGGCTATTGAAAATACCTATGGATTGGGTCGGGTGCCCCTTAGTTTGGAAAATGACATCTTTGCTCTTAACACTTTAAAGAAGTCTTGTGCAGCAGATTTGCCTAATGCAATGGTTATTTGGTTTCTTGACTGCTGCTTGCATGAGTGTTGATTGTACCTGATCTGCAGAAAATATTTAAGTTTGGAATTGTGATTAAGCCTTTGTTATTGGTGCTCATTTGCTCGATAAAAATTTTATTGAGTACTTACTGTGTGTCAGATTCTGTTTTTCCCACTAAGAATAGAGCAGAGAACCAGACAATAAAGGCTTCTGTTCTCATGGAGTAGGGGAGACAGACAATGCATACACAAATATACAAAGTCGGGTAGTGTTATGTGCCCCCTGGGAGCATTTTGTTGCTGTTAAGTGCTGTCGAGTAGCATAGTGGTTACGACTTGGGCTGTGAACCGCAAGGTCAGCAGTTCGAAACTACCAGCTGCTCCACGGGAGAAAGATGAGGCTTTCTACTCCCGTAAAGATTTACACCCTCGGAA